GGTCAGGGGTCAGGGGCGCGAGGGGGATGAAGCGGGGGTGGGGTCAGCGGAGTGGGCGCAGGTCGGGAGAGGGGCGTGGGGCTGGGGTGGGCCGGGCTGGACTGCTAGCTTCCTCCCAAGGTATTGGGGGACCTGGGCCAGGGTAGGGCCGGGAAGCTCGGCCCCCCGCGGGCCGACTCCCCGCGCGCGGGGGATGGGCACGCCGCCCCAGGGGGAACCCACCAGCCTCCTCCCCTCGTCAGTGGACACTGAAGACTGCCTGGAGGAAGGACCCGGGGCCCTGGTGCTGGAGAGTGATTTGCTACTAGGCCAGGATTTGGAGTTTGAGGAGGAAGAGGACGAGGAAGAAGGGGACGGCAACACTGACCAGCTCATGGGCTTCGAGAGAGACTCCGAAGGTGGGTGTGGGGGAACCCAGCATTCAGGGCCGCTCGAGCTGGGTGCCTGTGTGCGAGACCCTAGGGCTGCTCTGCCCCAGGCGGGCTCAAGGCTTGCACCCTCTGCAGCTAGGCAAGTTCCGGGGCCGACACAAGGGTGGTATCCAGCCCCACATGGGTGAATCACACGAAGGCACCTAGCCAGAGTCAGTACCCTTTTAATAACCTGGCCCCCCTTGGCAGTCCACTCTTTATTGAAGAGGTACCGGGAAGCAGCTTCCAAAAACGTGTGGGAAAATGGCATGAAAAGATGGATTCCCCCTCCCCACGCTACCAACTTTTGGAAGCCGCCTGGGTAGGCCACACCTCTCTCCAACTGCAGCGCAAGCTTTGGGATTGAAGTTTTCTTTATCGCCCCTACTCCAAGCGGCCTCCCCTACTGTCAACTGTGCCCTGATGTCAGGTTCACCCCATTCTAATTCCCTGGCTTGCAGACCCACTGTGAAAGATGTGTTTGGGACATCAGCAAGGGTATCAAAAGGGGCATGACATCTGGTGCTGTTTCCGCCCACTTTTTTTTTTAACTTCCGCCTTCCCCAGAGATAAGATATTTCAGTTTGTTATCAGCTCCATACTAAAGGGGGCTTGCATAATATAGAACACAGGAAAAGGTCTGAGGCCTCTGCCTTTTGTACTTTTGCTATCTTAGTGGGCTACAAATTGCGCTGCTAACCACAAGGTCGGAGGTTTCAACCCACCAGGTGCCCTGAGGGAGGATGAAGCTGTCTGCCCCTGTAGAGATTGTCTTGGAAACCCAAAGGGCCAGTTGTACTCTGCCCTGTGGGATCACTGAGTCGGAACGGACTCGATGGCAGTGAGTTTGGACATCCCAGGAATTCATTCAGGCCCCCAAGATGACAGTTCACGTTGACTCTTGCCGAGTTGTTGCAGGAGATGCCTCGGCCTCCAGGCAGGAACTAAAGGAGTCACTGCTGCTCTGAGAAAGGTTGGGGTGGGCGGGCAAGCAAGTGGGGAAGACCACAGGTGACGGGGCGAACTGGAGCCTGGTCTTACCCCATGGTGATGTCCCTTCTCATGTCTGTCTCACCAGGAGACTCTCTGGGGGCCAGGCCTGGGCTTCCCTACGGGCTGAGCGACGACGAGTCTGGGGGCGGCCGGGCACTAAGTGCCGAGAGTGAAGTTGAGGAGCCAGCCAGGGGTCCAGGGGAGGCCAGGGGTGAGAGGCCAGGCCCAGCCTGCCAGCTGTGTGGGGGGCCGACAGGTGAGGGGCCGTGTTGTGGGGCAGGAGGGCCGGGTGGTGGGCCCCCGCTGCCCCCCCGGCTACTGTACTCATGCCGCCTCTGCGCCTTCGTGTCCCACTACTCGAGCCACCTGAAGCGGCACATGCAGACACACAGCGGGGAGAAGCCGTTCCGCTGTGGCCGCTGCCCCTACGCCTCAGCCCAGCTCGTCAACCTGACGCGGCATACCCGCACCCACACTGGCGAGAAGCCCTACCGCTGTCCCCACTGCCCCTTTGCCTGCAGCAGCCTGGGCAACCTGAGGCGGCATCAGCGCACCCATGCGGGGCCCCCCACTCCTCCCTGCCCGACCTGTGGCTTCCGCTGCTGTGCCCCACGACCAACCCGGCCTCCCAGTCCCACAGAGCAGGAGGGGGCAGTGCCCCAGCGATCTGAAGGTAAAGGGCCAAGGGCCAAAGACCCTGGGGCAGGGGCAGGGGCAGGGGCGGGTGGCTCTCGGGCTACTTGGATTTATAGCCCAGGTCTCACTGCTGCTCCCACAGATGCTCTGCTCCTTCCAGATTTGAGTCTCCATGTGCCACCGGGTGGTGCCAGTTTCCTGCCAGACTGTGGGCAGCTGCGGGGTGACAGGGAGGGTCTGTGTGGGACTGGATCAGAACCACTGCCAGAGCTGCTGTTCCCTTGGACCTGCCGGGGCTGTGGACAAGAGCTGGAGGAGAGTGAGGGGGGTCGGCTGGGAGCTGCCATGTGTGGGCGCTGCATGGGAGGAGAGGCCGGAGGGGGTGCCAGTGGGGGGCCCCAGGGCCCAGGTGACAAAGGCTTTGCCTGTAGCCTCTGCCCCTTCGCCACTCACTATCCCAACCACCTGGCCCGGCACATGAAGACGCACAGTGGGGAGAAGCCCTTCCGCTGCGCCCGCTGTCCCTACGCCTCTGCTCATCTGGACAACCTGAAACGGCACCAGCGAGTACACACAGGGGAGAAGCCCTACAAGTGCCCTCTTTGCCCCTATGCCTGTGGCAACCTGGCCAACCTCAAGCGTCACGGTCGCATCCACTCGGGTGACAAACCTTTCCGGTGTAGCCTCTGTAACTACAGCTGCAACCAGAGCATGAACCTCAAACGCCACATGCTACGGCACACTGGCGAGAAGCCCTTCCGCTGCGCCACCTGCGCCTACACCACGGGCCACTGGGACAACTACAAGCGCCATCAGAAGGTGCACGGCCATGGCGGGGCAGGAGGGCCTGGCCTCTCTGCCTCTGAGGGCTGGGTTCCACCTCATAGCCCTCCTCCAGTTTTGAGCTCTCGGGGGCCAACAGCCCTGGGCACGGCTGGCAGCCGGACTCATCACACAGACTCACCCTGAACTGGGGCCTCCTCTAGGGCCCTAGGGACTAAATCCTGACCCTCCTGTATGTTTTATACAGACTGACCAGAAGCTGCCGCCACCTTCCTCCCCCGCTGGCCAGGGGCTCCACACCGACTAACCTAGGCGCTGTCTGGACCAGCTCTAAGCCCACGGGCAGGGGGCCATATGGACCAGGGGCCTTGCCTTGACTGTGCAGTTCATGAACTCAGTGAGAAGGGCCCGCTATTGACCTCCGCTGCTCCCAGGAGCTGTGGGGGGACAGGCTGGGGGACTACCCAGCCTCTCTTCTGTTTTATTTAACTTATTTCAGTGCTTTATAATAAAGGAAACACTAACAAAGCCATGTCTATGCCGAGTCAGCACTGGCACGCCCAGCTCAGCCTTCCCCGTAGCACAGCAGGCTCTGCTGTGATGGGGCAGTGAGGGAAGCAGAGGTAGGCAGTAATCAGGTTGTATTTAATGATGGGGAACTGGGCCAGACCATACACAGACCTCTGCCCATCCCCTTGGCTCATGGCCTTGAGAAGCCAGAAGCAGCCAGGGGAGAGCGGTGGTTGCACCCCAAGGCAGGTAGCCATGGTCCCTCTGACGTTGTGCAAAATACTAAATGCTAATTTGGCGTTGAGGCCAGCCTGGGAAAGAGAAAGGGACAATGCTTTGTGCAGCCAGCCCAGGGGGAAGGGAAGGTGGGTTAGGAAGCCCCTACCCCTGGTGAGAGAAAGGTAAGAGGAAAGAGACCCCCAGCATGGAGGGACACAGGCACAGGGCCAGTTTCTGTCTATCCTCTGGAGCGGAGGGCAGTGGAGATTACAGATCCTCATCCCCAATGCCCTCGAAGGCGAAGTTGCCGTGGACGTCACTGGCACTGGCATCTGTGCTGGGACTGCCAATTCCCCGCAAGCTCACGGCACTCAGCTTGCTCTGTAACAAGGTAGGGTGGGGGTCAGAGGGTGCCAACCTACTGGTGGTTCCCTGCCAACATCAGCCTCCCCAACCTCCCCACCCCCATTAAACTCACTGAGAGTTTGGCCATGGACTCTCGGCTGGCATCAGGTGACTCCTGGGGAAAAGGAAACAGACGTCAGACCTCCTTGGAGGAAGTGGAAACAGGGATGAAAGCCTGGGTATTGACCAGTGAGTAATACTTACAAGCAGTGGTGGGGACTTTACTGCTTGCTGACTGTCTGAACGCCTCAGGGTGCCCCCCAACCGCCGGCGCAGCATCTGGGATTGGAGAGGAGGTGCTGATGGGGACAGGCCCATTAGAAGCCCTTCCCCGCACGAGAAGCCTCACACCCTGGATAGAAAGCAGAGAGTGTACCACCGCTCCGCTGTTTCATTGGCACTCATTCCTCACCTTCCTGATGCTGCCACCAGATTTCTTCACCATCAGTTCATCTACCATGGACTGTAAGCAAATGCTCATCATGATAGCCTGGGGGAAAGAAAGCTCAGCCTGAACAGAGTGCTTAGCCTAGCCCAGAACCCCACAGATAAGGGCTGCCCCTCACATGCAGCCCGGGAGCCCTAAACCTTGGGTGTCTAATAAAAGAGATGGTGGAAGGGACTCTAGAGGTCTGAGGGTAGGCTTCACACCTGGGGGCTGGTGATGGTGACCCACTGTAGTCGGTCCTTGCTCATGAGGTATTCGAAAGCTAGTTCCAGGCGCACCTCGCCCCGTCCCCGGCCAGGGCTGCTCGTGCCTCCGCTGGGCAGAGGCACCTGGGAACGTTAAGTGGAATTCAGTCGTTAATTCTGACCAAACTGCCTCCCTCTGGGACCCGTGCTGCCCATTTCTGAAGCACAAGGTCAGCCAGGTCCTCCTCCCACCAGGCTTTCCCTTCCTGCCTCAACTCACAGACGAGGTAACCCGCCAGCACCGCATTCGGGTGACCCGGAAGGAGCCTTCACGGAGTTGCTGGCCAGGTAAGCGGAGCTGGAGGCTGAGCTCACTGTTGCCAGCGCTCACCACCACAGGACAGTCCTTTTCTGGGAAGTCAGCCACACAGGCATCAAAGCGCAGGTAGCCATAGTGCCGCAGCGTCTGGGCCAACCTCAGGAACTGAAATGTAGCCACCCCATTGGGCCAGTCAGCAGGAGGGAGAGGAACAGTTGGGAGAATGAACTCCATGGAAGGAGACAGAAAAAAGCTAACAATAGGCTCACCTCCTTCTTGGAGACCTTTTCTTGCAGAGACTTGAGCTGCCGGTGCTGCTCCTTGGTGACCAGGATCCACCCACGCTCAATATCTGATACTGTCTACAGTGGACACAAGGAATGGGGGAATGGTGGGGTTCCCAATTTGAGAGCTGGGGAAAGTGGCTTAAGTTACCTGTCTGGCCTGACTTGTAGCACCCTCCCGCCACCCCCCCCCCCCCCCCCACACACACAACTTGCAGTAAGGGCCCTTGATTCTATCAGCTTATAAAACAGTAGCGGTTCTGTCAGGTGCCCTGATAGTATTCTAGCAGCTTCCCATGAACTAGTAGCAAAGACAAAGGACTTTTCTTGGAGAGTGGGATACCAGTCATTTCCAGGGAAGGGGCTTTAAGACAGTGCCAAGCTCACCTGAGCATAAAGCAGGTTCAGGCCAACCCGGTTCTCCATGACATCATCATCATAGGCAGAGTCCCAATAACTGTGAGGCCAAGGGGTGGAAAGGGGTAATGGAGCTCAGCTGGGGTGACAAGTGAGGTATAAAGGAAAACAAGGGCAAAGGAACAATCTGGAACTCAGGGGCTACAGTGGTACAATGTGAACGGGGAGGGGAGGCTCAGACTAAGCTCGGCCCCCTTGTCCAGCTTGGTCTGTCTCAATAGGTGCCCTGGTAATCCAACCCAGCCCCCTCCTTCTGCTCCAAGGCCAGCCCTGACCTTTTCCTGAGCACAATCTTATACTCTTGACTCCGTAGACTAGTAACAGACACATAAGGCAGCTCAAACTCTTGCAACTTCCGCACAACTATGGGTTAAAAACAAAGAAAATGTCATGAGACTTGGGAAGGGAAATCACAAGTAGTCCTAAGGAAAAGCCCCATTCTGGTCTCCCAAGTGAGGGGGAAGAAGAGTTCACTACTAGAAGCACAGAGAAGCAATAAAGTCCAGAGAAAAGAACTCACAAGAAAAGGCGCCATCCTCTTTTTCTCGAACTAGAAAGAGACTAAAGTATCCAATCAAGTCATCTGGAAGATCCAGCTTTGCAGCCACAGCCTAGAGAAAGGAAGAGAAAGCACAGCTAATACAGGCTGTGTCCCATCACCCAGGAGACCCAGGAGAGAGAGAAGGGGCGAAAACGAGCCAGGGCCTCACCTCTAGGACATCCTCCGTTTGATCTGAAGTCAGCACATTGACCAGAACTTTTTGTCCATTGCTGAGCAACACTTCCAAGGAGACCTCTTCTGTGGGGACTTGCTGTGTCTCCTGGTTTTGAGTAGACACGGGGACAGAAGGCACCACCTTGTTCAGTCCCGCGCAGGGGCTAGCTCTAGCCCACCCCCAACTCTTAAGTCTCTCTCGTGTCTGTTCTTGGCTGTTTAAACGCAGGCTGGGATTCCTAAACCTCATCCTTGTCACGTCAGTGACAAAGCACTCGAGAAGAAAATGTTCCACTAGGACCTCAAGTTCCTGAAAGGAGCCTCTAAAACCCATGGAACGAAGACAAAGACCAAAGAAACCAAACTTACGATGGTTAGTTACACGGTAGAAGCCCCAGTCTAGAAAAACCAGTGACTCCTTTGCAGCCACATCACTGTCATGGCCCTCCAGTACATCTTGATCTTACCCAAAACCTTACCTGTTGTGCTCGACGCAGGAAACTATTGAAGGTCTCACTGCTCCCAAGCAATGGGTCTTGCCGAACTATGGGAACAATAGTTCCAATAACTTAGGGCTTTCTGTTGGTTCCTTCCAGGCCTGTTTTTGGTAGGTCCCCTCAACCCCATTTCCTACACTGCTGGTGACCTGCCACATCCCCAAGCTGGTCTCATCTCACTACTTGCATAAATTCTTCACTTGCCCCACCCTTGGCTGCCATCTACTTGGGTCCAGTCTAGGAAACTTGGGAAGTAACAATGATATTAATCTAAGGCAAATCAGTTAAAATTAAGTTTTCCCCACTAAACAGCTTCAGTAATGTTTAGTATTACTGAACATCGACTCCTCACTGACTCTCGTTTCTGGACATCGAGCACTTAAGACAGTAGTAAAATATGTACTGGGCTATTTTGCACAAGGGGTGAGTCAATTGGGCTGGGTCATGATTCTCAGTAGTTTGGCAGTTATGCACTGATATAGTCATTTTCTATCTTTACATAGCCTGTTCCTTTGAACTTAACCTTGTGAGGAGACTATGTGCTGATATTCTCATAGATGTTTCTGCCCAAATTGCTTTGTTAGTGTAGTTCCCTATCCTTGCACACTATTTACTTTTCCTAATTAACAGAACAAGCAGAAAGCTTCCCAGATCTTGAAGTGAATTTAGGATCTTTTATAGAACCAGCTAAGGAGCCTTGGTGGGTTATCCACTGGTTTGCTAACCAAAAGGGTGAGCCCACTAGCTGCTCCTTGGGAGAAAGATGAGGCAGTCTGCTTTTGTAAAGATGACTGCCTCAGAAACCACAGGTTCCACTCTAAGGCTCTACTCTACCCTAGAGGGCCACTCTAAATCAGAATTTACTCGATGGCCATGGGTTTGGTTTGCTGATACAGACCAGCTAGGCGCCCTGGGGGTGCTATGGGCTAGGCATTGGGCTGCTAACCCTAAGGTTGGAGGTTCAAACCCACCAGCCCCTCTGTGGGAGAATTATCCTTCCTGGATTTACATTCCAGAAAACTTCAAGGGGCAGATCTACCCTGCCCTATAGGTCACTATGAGTAGAAATCAAGGGCAACGGATTTGGGTTTGTTACAGAACCAGCGGCTTTTAGTTTCTCCCATCGTGCTCAATATAGCCAGCCTCAAGTTGCCTGCAGCCACTCACCTGCTTGCATGTACTTCTCTAACTGCTCCCTCCTCTGTTCTACCTCAGCAGGTGTCAGAGAGAAAAGTTTCTTTGGGGGGAATGCAGGAAGCACATTGGCCCCATACTCCTTCCGGAGCTATTTAAAGAGAGAGACATAATCCTTCATATAAACACAGAAAACGAAAAGAGGAAATTCAGACCCGTGATGTTTCTTCCCCCCAAGTGCCCACTCCATCTAGTCTGCCCATCTGGGAAATAATTCTTTTGGCTGAGGTAGCATCTCATGGGAGTCATTCCCTGGCCCTAGACAGAAATTCTGTCCCAGTTTACTGTGTACAAGCCAGACCCTTCGGTGTGGGGAGGGTTCATGAGGCCAGGACCTGAGAAGCTTCCGGACTATCTAGCCAGGCTGCTCATTGCATCCTGACAGGAAGCAAAGGGCTTTATAAGGAAAGCTTATGTGCACAAGTAGTTGTTATTGATCAGGGTTGCACAACTCTCAGTAGGGCCAGGATTCTGTACTGAGTTAAAACAGTTCACCATTGGGTGAAAAAGTCAGGAAAACACTGCATCCCCGAAACGGGGCAACAACTGGACGGCAGTCACCTGTACTGCGATGGGCCAAAAAACACACAAGGAACCGGGCGAATGGTTTGCATGAGCAGGACAAAGAATTTCAATTGGCAGAAGGAATGTGCTTGGACAATCAGGAAGGGGGTCGTTTTTCCCATGCACGGGCAAAGGCCGCAGAGCCGGAAGAAGGATGTGAGTATGGGGGAGGAGCAGGAAGCACAGCAGACACATGAAGCTTCCTAGGGAATCCCAAAGAAATGTCAGACGGTAACAACCCTGGTCCTTCCCGTGGTCATGATGAAAGGCAACTACGGCCTCCAGGAATCGTGACGGGAGTTAAAAGAGGGGGACACTTAATGCCCGTGTGTATGAAAGGGCCCGCCGCGGCCTCCAGGCTCCCAGGAACGCCAGTCCCACCTGCTCGTGCAGACCCAGGAGCTGGCTGTAGCGCACCCGACAGTGCAGGACTCCATTCACGTGAATGTTGTAGGCCTGCGGACACAACAGCAGACAAGCATTTTAGGGTCCCGGCTTGGGCCACCCCCTTGAGAGGCCTGGCAGAACTGAGTACGGCGCTGAGATGTCCGGAAGCCGTTAGCATGTCTGTTTGCCCCTGGCCAAGCTCCCGAACCGAAGAGTGGGTCCGGGGAAACCCGGGCGCTGCGGCCGAAGTCTCCTTCCCCAAGCAGCCAGTGATGTGCTCCTGAGCAGCCGCGGCCCCTCCGGGAGAGCTGACGCGGCCAAAGCACCCACAGGAGCTGGGGCGCTCTCGGGACAAGCCTGGGACGTGGAAGAAGGTTCCACCGTGGCGGTCAAGAGTCGGGAAATCTAGCCAGGCCCGAAGGCTGCCGGCCAGGCCTGGGACACGGCTCCGGGAGGACTCCGCCCCGTTCTCCCCGCCCCTGCCCGGCCCGGCGCCAGCCGCTCCTCACCACGTAGGGGGAGCCGCCGCTGTCCCCGCTGCGGGACTCGGTCTCAGGGATGGAAAAGTGCATGTTCCTGGCGGCAGGGCCCGCCGGGCTCCCGTCTGTGAGGGCCGCGGAGGCTCTGCACGGCTCAACTCCGCGGCTCAGCGCATCCTCGCAGCTTCACTCGCCATTTTGGGGGCCTGGAGTCGAAGGTGGGAAGGGAAGTGGGACGTCCGCTCCTCGGCGCACCTCCCTCGGCATGCTGGGAAATGTAGTCTAGCGGGTCAAGGAAACTACCGCCACTGAGCGTGCGTACTGGAGCTGGCCCTCATCGCGACCCGTCACCCGGAGCGGAGCGCTAACGTGCGTCAGAGACCGCAGTCCGGAGCCTCCAGGCCAGGTGGCGCCGTACTCGCCGCGACGGCGGCGCGGGGCTCCGCTGCGGCCGTGACTGCAGGGGGCGGAGCCAAGGGCTGAGCGTGATGGCCGCCTTGGCCGTGGCCGTTCGCGAGGGTGAGTGAGTGGAGGCCTCGGGCGCACAGGCTCGGGCCGGCTAGCGCTAGGCTTCTCTGGGCCCGACCGGCGGGCGCGTGGCGGCGCCAGGTGGGATTGGGATCTCAGTCTCGGGCGCAGCCCGGCGTCCCGGCTGGGTTCCGTGGGCAGGGTAGATAGATGACCCCTTCTGTCTCCGCCCGTTCCCCCACCCACTCCCCCGCCTTTGCTTTGATCTTGCGGCGCAGCGCGTCCCCACGCGCATCGCTGGCCAGCCTCAGTCTGGAGGTAGAGCCGCGGTCATGCCCATCCAGAGACTGGCGACCTCAAGTCTCCCCAAATCCTCTCGGGGCCCTCCCTGCTCACTCTGCGCCCTGTTTTCTGACGCAGACTCGGGATCCGGCATGAAGACGGAACTGACTTCTAGGCCCGGGGTAAGTCAAGGGGCTACTGCTCTCTTGAGCCACCTGCCCAGGGCTTCCGTGGGACGCGGAAGGCTGTTAGCTTCATTCCGTCCCCTCTTCCCTCCCCGTTTCAGTTTACAATACGGTGAAAGGAGATGTTACCGAGTTCGTTCAGCCCTGGTGTTTGTGTGGCTGGAGAGAAACCCCGATTCCTGTGGGATGGATGTCATCTTGTCCCCGGGAGGGAGGTGGTTGGAATTAGAGAGGATTAAGGCTTTACTCTTGATGATCTTGTTGTATAAGTCCAAGAGTGCTTCTACATCTTTGGGATTATTAGGGAAGAGTAGCGTGGTATCTCTGTGTCTCAGTCAGGGGGTAGGGAGATGACCCAAGAAGAGAAGCTGCAGCTTCGCAAGGAAAAGAAACAGCAGAAGAAGAAACGGAAGGAGGAAAAGGGGACACCTCCGGAAACTGGATCAACTAGCTCTGCAGCCCAGTGTCCAGGTGTGAGGCTCTCACAGGGCTGGGATGTGGAGTGTGGTGGGAGAGAGGAGGGGGAGATGGCACAGTTAGATTGGGCAATGAAGGGAAAAGAGGTTTAAATAAACAGGGAGAGAGGCTTTGGCTGGGACACAGCGATTGCCTGCCTAGAGCTTGGGTACCCCTTCCTTCTGCCTTTAGTGGCTCCAACCAGAGAACTGCCAGGGCCCACCAATCAGTTAGGCACCCCTGGGGAGAAAGTTCCACCTGCCCGGAGTAAAGCTGAACTTCGTGCTGAGCGGAGAGCCAAGCAGGAGGCTGAGCGAGCCCTGAAACAGGCAAGGAAAGGGGAACCAGGAGGACCACCTCCTCAGACCTGCCCCAGCACAGCTGCAGAAACCCCCTCAGGTATGGGCCCTGCATTTCAAGACCTCTCTTAACACCTAAGTTCTGTGCTAGTTCAGTCTTCCCCGGAGTTAAACAATGCTGCTCTCCTTGTTGTCCCACCTGGAGACCCAAGCTCCAAATGCTTCCCCAGTCTATACCTATTCCTTCTTTTATGCTGTTTTCCCGCCCCCCCCCCTTCTTTTTTAAATCCTACTTTTCTTGATGCCCTTTATCCTCTGAGATCAAATCATCCAAATGTCCTGGTACAGTTTCGTGAGCACATGATGATTTTGTCGTAGGAGTGAAGCATCTACCCGAGCACACCCAAGTTGATGATCCCACACTTCTGAAAAGGCTTGTTAAGAAACCAGAGCAACAGCAGGTAGGAAGTGGGCCTATGATATGTCAGTGAGAGAAGAAAGGTGTTCTGGGCAAAGTGAAACCCCAGAGAAGGGGGAATATTTGGGTCAGATTAGTCTCAACCATTCACTTCCTGTCCAGCTTTATCTCCTTAAGTTTTAAAGTCTGGACCACTAATCCAATTTCCCTATTTCATCAAGGTTCCTACACGAATGGATTATGGATCCAAAGTCAGTCTCTTCTCCCACCTTCCTCAGTACAGCCGACAAAACGCTGTGACCCAGTATATGAGGTAGGAGCCTAGGGAGCTGTGACAACTTTTACTTCTGGGCAGTCTGTAGTCATTGAGTTATAAAAGCGGCTGGGAATTTGAGGTTGGATCTGAGGGGGACAGCTAAGACTCGAGGCAAAACTGTAGAAGAAATGAGAGCGTCTGTGCTAGAGAGAAAGCTCCTTTTCATCAGGGGTAGGTGGGCAGTAGGTGCTCAAGCGCCCTTGCAAAGTGTGTGACACAGCCATCCCATCAGCATCCCATCCTCTGTGATCCACCCAGCCATGGTGCGACTCGGCCTGCAGTACTCCCAGGGCCTGGTCAGTGGCTCCAATGCCCGGTGTATTGCCCTGCTCCGTGCTTTGCAGCAGGTATGCTCCTCCCTATCTGGTTTCCACCTTCCCCAACGCTGCCCTCGCTTCTCTTAGCCACTGTAATCTCTGGGGGAAGGAAAGAATGACTCTACCCTTTGAATACTTTTCCTCCGGGAGCTTTGTCCCCCATCCTCCTGGCGGAAACCTTTTCTTTGGGGGCAATTTGCTGATCAACTTTTGTACCCGGTAGGTGATTCAGGACTACACAACACCCCCCAATGAAGAACTCTCCCGGGATCTCGTGAATAAGCTGAAACCCTACATCAGGTAAAGGCAGTAACTGCGGGCCACGCCCCCCTCACCCAGTCATTTTCTTGTTCCCTTTCTCTTGCTCTTCTAACTCCTGTTGTTGTCTTCCTAAAGGGAAAAAAAAAAAAAGTTTTAAATGTGAAAGCTGTGTGCATTGTAAAGAGTTGTCCCAACGTAAGGCATTGTTGTTGCAGCTTCCTGACTCAGTGCCGCCCCCTGTCAGCAAGCATGTACAACGCCATCAAGTTCCTTAACAAGGAGATCACCGGTGTGAGCAGCTCCAGGCGAGAAGAGGAGGTGATAAATATGAGGCATGCAGCTGGGGGTGGAGCTAAGCAACACGTCTAGGACACCTGCCCCAGGAAGGAAGGGCAATGAGAGCCACCCTCCCCCAGCCACAGGTCCAGGAAGGGATAGAGCAGTCTGACTGGAGCTACCTGGGAGCCTGTCATCACATGCATATTCAGGTAACTGACATGATCATCAGTAAAACTTATGCTCGTTTCTAGGCCAAGTCAGACCTCCGAGAAGCCATCGATCGCTATGTGCAAGAGAAGATTGTCCTCGCAGCTCAGGCAATCTCACGCTTTGCCTACAAGAAGATCAGCCATGGAGATGTGATCCTGGTATATGGATGGTATGGTCCAGAGCAGAGTCCTGAAAAGGGACGTGGTTACTCCGTAGGGGGTGGTGGTGAAATGATCTGCAAGAAGGCAGTACCCCTTGCCCTTTGCCATTAGTTGGTGGCATTTATAACGGAGTCCTCCCCTCCCTTTCAGTTCATCTCTGGTGTCACGAATTCTTCAGGAAGCCTGGGCTGAGGGCCGGCGCTTTCGAGTGGTAGTGGTGGATAGTCGGCCATGGCTGGAGGGAAGGCACACACTGCGTTCTCTGGTCCGGGCAGGGGTTCCTGCCTCCTACCTGCTGATTCCTGCAGCCTCCTATGTACTCCCAGAGGTAAGGGCAAGGGACCCTAAAGTTGGAAGTACAGAGAGTATGGCAGTATGGACATAACCCTACGTTTCCATGAATACGGGTAGTTAGAAATACTAAAGTTGTGGGGAAAAAATTAAAGTTGTGTAGGCCTGGTATAGGTTTCATAGGAACCCCACCTACGGCATGCTTTAGCACAGTCTAGCTATTGCAAGCACGTTGTATTATACTAGCAACCACCAAAAGGGAATGGGGCAAAAGGAACCGCAGAGCTTCGTGGCCCTGTGGCCTATCGGGTGGGTCAGTGGTCAGGTGTTTTCCAGGAAGAGCCACAGCTGGGGTTTGTTACTTGTTAGTTTTGAGGTTGCCGGTCTGGGCAGAAGTGGGGAGCCTTACTCTGCATTACTGACCACATGTGACATTTCCCTCTCCCCCACCCGCCTCCACTCCCCCAAACCAACAGGTCTCTAAGGTGCTATTGGGAGCTCACGCACTCCTAGCCAATGGGTCTGTGATGTCACGAGTGGGGACGGCACAGCTGGCCCTAGTGGCTCGAGCCCATAACGTGCCAGTGCTGGTCTGCTGTGAAACATACAAGTTCTGTGAGCGTGTGCAGACTGATGCCTTTGTCTCCAATGAGCTAGGTAAGGAGGCCCAGGAGGGCAGGAGAGAAGGTTCCAGGGGGCCTGAGAAGATTGGCGAGGGAGTGGGAGTTGCATGCTTTCTACAAGGACATGAATGGGTTACCCCCATTGCAGATGACCCTGATGATCTGCTGTGTGAGCGAGGAGACCGTGTGGCCCTGGCTAACTGGCAGAACTACCCGTCCCTACGCTTGTTGAATCTGGTCTATGATGTGACCCCCCCAGAGCTCGTGGATCTGGTGATCACAGAGCTGGGGATGATCCCTTGCAGTTCCGTGCCTGTTGTCCTCCGAGTCAAGAGCAGTGACCAGTGAGGGTGGAGGTGGAGGGCACCCCCACGGGGTCAATAAATGATGTACTCCTATACCCTGCAACTCTGCTGGCTGCCTTTGTCTCTCTCTTAGTGCCACAGTCATGTAAGTTTTGGGGCCAGGCTTGCTTCCCCATTCTTCCTGTCACTCACTACCCATGTCAAACTGTTGTGGAACCCCTCTCCAGTGACCCGTGCTTGGTGCCAAGTGAAGGTCAGTCTGGAGACCAAAACCTACCCAAATCATTGATCCAGCTACTGAGCTAGAAATGAGGAGGAAGAGAAGGACAAGGACAAGCCTGATCTTGAGTAGCTTCGCACTTGTTGCTCATTGTGTGCCAGCAGCTGCTTGAAGTCTTTTGTCATCGTGCAGTGATCTGTACAACTCTGTGAAGGGAGGTACTACTGGGGACAAGTCTGAGGCACAGAGAAGTGACTTGCCCAGGGTAACACAGCTAGCTAGCTACACCAGGCATTTCCTTTTATGCTGCATGCCCTTGAGTGCTTACCACGGAGAAGAACTATTTATAAACAGTGGAGAAGGAGAGACGTTCCAGTAGTATGAACAATTCCTTAGGAGTACCCAAGGGTGATGCTAGTGAGGCTTAGAAGATTGATGAGGACGTCACAGGTCACATCTACCCCGTCCTTGAAGAAGAGGTAAGGGGAAATGGGAAGGCAGCTCAGCCAAGGAACTAGCGCCAAGAGACAGTATGAATCTTCCTCAGAGACAAAAGCTTTGAGGGGCCAATTTCAAAAGTAGCAAGTTGTGTGATGAGGTTAGAACTGAAGTTCCTGGGAAGAGTGATGAAGCTGCAAAGGTAGGTTGGACTAGATTGTGAGTGTGACCAGTGTGATTAGCCTCCATCATCTGTGTGTGTGTGTGTGTGTGTGTGTGTGTAGGACTCCATAAACAGCACAAAAGTAGAGTGACCTGTACAAAGAATTCCTATTTACCAGAGGCAAAAAAACAAATATTTGCTTTCATTTTGCTGAGGGTTATTTTAAAGCAAATCTCAACTATTATTTCACCACTACAACATTCAGATGTATCTCTTAAGACAGAGACATTGCTATAGTACTTTCATCACAATTAGTACCTTGTGAATAGTATCTAATCCACAAGCATGTCTTTGATTGTCTCAAGGTGGTTTTTTAATTGATTTGTTTGAATCAGGGTTCAAGCAATTTCACAAAGTACTGTATCTCCTATATTTCTTGTATTCAAAAGATCCTCTTGATCCCCTTCTCTTTTTTTTCCCCCTTTGACATTGTTATCGCTTATAAACTGTCCCACATTCCACATTCTGGGTGTGAATGTTTGCTTGCTTGTCATTTAACTCATGCCTCTAACTCCTGTATTTCCATTCAATTTAGTGGGCAAGAATATCCCCGCAGTGGTGTGGTGTGTGCTTCATACTGCCTCACCTCGGGCAGCCAACAGTGGCTGGTCTACTTCCCATGTTGAGTGTGGGGCCCCTGAACAGTCCATCGTAAACTTTTCCACCAACCTTTCACTTCCTGTTTTTTCACCCACTGTTGTTTGTTGCCTGCAATATTTCTTTAAGGGTTACAAAATCGTGATTTTTTTTCAAATCTTACCTTTTCATGTGAACTAGCGGCATCTTATAAAGAACCCTCAATCAATGTTGTATAGTATTCTGAATTAAAACTCACATACTTAAATCTTAATGTTAGCTCCGGTGGTATACAAGTGATGTCCTTGTGGAGTAATTGCTTTTTTAGCTTTCCTTTTCTTAAAGGCTTACTCTGAACTTAGGGGTTTTTATATATTCAATGTGTACTGCTCAGTCATCAATATAAAGCAAGAGATCAATAGAGTGAACGCTATGCTTTAGGATGATATCTGACAAGAGATTAGAGGCAGACAAATCAGTGGGTTTAAAAACAAAAACATGGCTATCAAGTTGGTTCTAACTCATAGCATCATCTTTCTCCTGCAAAGCAGGTGATGGGTTTGAACCACCAACCTTGTGGTTAACAGTCCAAAGCTTACCTGACATGCTACTAGGGCACTTTTAGTTAATTGTCCCATTAATTAAAATTGTAAATGTACCTAAAGTTTGACCCAGCAATTCAGATTTTAGGAATTTACCCTTCAGAGAAGTTGTACATATTGAGAATGTACAGTGGCATTTAAAGATGTATGGTTATTTATAGCAGTGTTGTTTATAGTAGCGAAAGGCGTGAAATCAGTAGCCTTAAATGTTATTTGGTGCTGTCAATTCTGTCCCAGCTCATAGCAACCCTCTATAACAATGAAACAAGCCCAGTCTCATGCCTTCACTACATTGTTATGTTTGAGCCCATTGTTGCAGCCGATACATTAATCTATCTTGTGGAGGGTCTTTCCCCTTCCCCTCCACTTTGTCAAGCATGATGCCTTCTTCGGGGCCTCATCTCTCCAGACAGCATGTCCAAAGGGAGGCAATCTCACCATTTCCACTTCTAAGGAGCATTCTGGCAGTTCCTCCTTCAAAAGATTTGTTTTGCTGGCAGTCGATCCGCATGGTTGGTGGTTCGAAACCACCAGCAGCTCTGTAGGAGACAGACTGGGCTTTCCATTCCCCCAAACAGTTACAATCTAGGAAGCCCACAAGGCGTGACTATGAGCCAGCATGGACTAGATGGCAGTGAGTTTGGGGGGCAGTGTAGTTTCAATATTCTTCACCAACACCATACTTCCAATATAGCCATTCTTTTGTCTTCCTAATTCATTGTCCATCGTGTACATGCAGATGAGGCAATTGAAAATACCACGGGTCAAGTGCACCTTAATCCTCAAACTTACACACCTGCCTTTTAGGAGACTAATTATACTACCAAGAGCTCTGGTGGGGGGGTGATGGTTAATCACTTGATTGATAACCTTAATGTTGATGGCCCCAACCCACAGCAGCTTGACAGAAGACCTGGTGATCTCTTTCAGTAAAGATTCCAGCCTAGGAAACCCGATAGGGCAGTCCTACTCTGTCCTGGAGGGTTGCTATAAAGCAGAACCAACTTAGCAGCACCCTGTATACTTTCTCCCACAGAGCCCACTTTGTAACAGCCCAGCTTTATCATTGTGCTACTAAGGCTCCTATCACGTGTGCTGCAGCCATACGATTAAATACTAGACATCACAAATAATTAGGAAGGTCATGTATAGAGAAAGAACAATCACAAGATCTATTTGGACAAAGGAAAAAGGTGCAGGGCTGTGTGCAGGTTGTGTTTGTATTTAAAAGGAGGAAATAATATGTATTTGCATGTGTATAATACTTAAAATATCTTGGACCAGTTATAAGAAACATTCATTCTTTGTGTGGATGGGATTTAGGGGGCTTGAGAGAGGTTCCCACCTCTCTAGAGTCTGCTTTATACCTTTATATCTTGTTGTTATTTCTCTCCACGGAAATCTTTAGTAAAAAGCAAAAGATTTATACGCTCAAAGAGAAACCAGAGTATCCCTTTATAACTTTTTAACTTTGAGCCATGTGAATGTCTTATTTCAAAAATGAGTAAAACATTTTGCAGTAGTTCCAATCCAAAATAGCCTAATCTGAGGCAGCAGGAATGGAGAGGAAGTTAAGGAAACAGCTGTCCACCAGAGAAGTATTTCAAATATATTGAGGGAACTGTAGCCTCAAATATACCCAGTTTTGTGCCTTCACCACGGAATTATTCCTGTAGCTAAGGCTACTACACAGCCTTAGCTTGTCTTCAGGCCACTAAGAGGAAGTGGAATGGGAGTAGAATTGGGTAACCCCTTCGTCCCTCTTGGCTAGCTCCTCTACCCTTTCCTTAAATGTTTTGCACAACCAGAGGAATTTCATGGGTGGAATTATTTGGGGAGGAAAGTTTGTTTCCTTGGGGGATTTGGTATCAAAATTATCAGACCGAATCCCCAAATCAAGACAGGATTAGTGATTTATATAGTTAAACAGTAACTTCTGTAAAGGTCTTTTCTTGACTGGGATAGGGGAGAACTACACCTTTGGATTTCCAAGGTTATAAATCTTCACAGGGGCAGCAAGTCTCACCTTTCTCCCATGAAGCACCTGGTAGGCTCAAACTGCTTACCTTGTGGTTAGCAACCCAAAGTATAATCCACTATGCCACCAGGACTCCTTAGTAAAGACAGTCACCTGGCCAGATTGGGGAAGGGCAAGAGAGATCTCAGAAAAATCACCGTCACCAAATCTATTCCAACTCACAAGGGACTTAGAAGACAAAGAACTGTCCCTGTAGGTTTCTGAGACTGTTAACTCTACTGGAGTAGAAAGCCTCATCTTTGCCCCTTGGGTTGGCTAGTGGCTTTGAACTGCTGACCTTGTAGTTAGGAGCTGAATGTAACCCACTCCACACCAAGGTTTGTCAAAGAAGAGATAGCCCTTGTCTATGTAAATGTCATAGTTTTGAGGGAGACTCCCTTAAGTCACTTTTCCTTATACTTTGTGTGGGATCCTGCTTGTCTGTCTTTGTGGAAGGCAAATTGCTTTTCTCTGCCTTTCTGGATTGCCTAGGAGATTGCTCCGGGCTATTGTCTTTCTCCTGGTCTCCTTGGGACTTTACCTGAGGCAGTTTGGTGATCAGAAAGTGAGTGTGGGATACTCAAGGTGGCAAAAGGACTATTTCAAGGCTTAGGATGAAACACCGATATCTGGAATGCCTTTGACTTCAGGCACATTCTCACCTAGTAGGCAGCCTCACCTCTGAGGTTCAGAGACCTGTGAAAGTGATATGGCTCTAAGTGCCTCAGGAAAGGGCAGAAAATTGTTACACTCACTAAAGCAGAGGGGGGCACTTGGCAGTCACAGTGAGTGACTGGGAGTGACTGGGAGCAAGGTCTATTCGATCACACACCCTTCCAGGCCAGATTTCCCTAGACCTGTTCCTTCGCTAGAGGCTGCGCTCTGGCTAGGCCCCATTTCATTTTTTGCCTCCGGTTCATAGCTAACAGCACCAGTAGCTGGATCTCGCTACAGATCAGTAGCTGGATCTCTCTACAGATCGCTGCCATTCCATGGCTAGGACAGGCAGCGAGGTTTCCTTAGTCCT